GTACAAGATCAAATTTTAAATTATCATAACAAACGATGTTTTAACGTAACATTGCCATCTAGGCCTATTTCCAAAAACAGGCAATTTGTGTGTGTGTGTTGGTGGGGGGGGGGGGTGACAAAATTGATTGGGTATGGCTTTTCAAGGAGGTTTTTGCCTAATCAAATACTAAATAAATAGTTTGCACATTTTGAAAAATTCATCAAAAACGCTATTACTAAAATAATATTATTTGTTGTTGAGAAAATAAATTTTAAAAGTTCCAATTATGGGCCAAAAATTTATATTCCCCTTTTATCAAAACCTAATTTACATCGTTAATTAAATTCTGTTATTTCAGACTGGTAATGAATTAAGTAAAGGAAATACCAATAAGAGGCTCATAGGCCACATGGTCACCTGAGCATTTTATGCTCGAATTGACGAATACATGTACATGTACTGTGTAAATTATAGAATTATTTTGCCTTTTTCCTTGGTAAGCTCAATATGAAGGAGTGTGCATTTAGAGGCAAATACCTTCGTGCGGGTATTACTGTCTCATGACAGCATCTAGTATATCTTTAAAATGATTGTCAAATAAAGTCGTAATAAAAGGCACACGCATGTTTTTAAAAAAGTTATAATCGATATTGTGCCACGTCCATGTGCTTGCAACACCAAAGAAAAGTCAACAAATAATCCGAATACAATTAATAATTCCAAAGAAACGTTTTTAAGGATTTGTCCTTTTTATGACACAATGATTAAAATGAAAGTGGCATTCCTTCGATATTGAATAGAAGCTACATCCAGTTTTGCTTCTTAACCTTTTTTTAAATGTAAAATTCTTTTCTATCTCTTTAGATTGTAGCTTTCAACAACTTTTTTTACTTTTATCGTGTCTGGAACCCCCGTCCCCCCAGGAATTTGCAGAGCTGTTAAAAGTATAAATCACTTTGGATCCCCCTAGAAAATGTGGACCCCACAATCACCAATACGAAATGGATGTTTTTCACGTTTGGGAAATGGATTTTACCTTTTTATTTTTGGCTGGTCAAGGAATTTTGTTTGGGGTTGGAATTTTTTTTTTTACCAAGATGGACCTCCCCCCCCCCCCCCTTGGAAAAAAAATCCTGGATCCGCGCCTGACTAAACTGTTAATCTGCAAAATGTTCAGCTGATCTGCAAAATAAGGAAAACTGTAGCAGAAGTCATCCGGATACAAATGAATCCTTTCATATGCCACTGGAGTACCCGCCATTTTCACCATTTTAAAAACCGAATTTTTCCTACGGAAAACCCGGTTAAAATACAAGTAAAATAATTAAACAACATTGAAAGGTTTATTTTTTAAATTCTTTATCCTGGTGGTTTGATTAATTATAACTCTCATCCTTGCGGATTGGGGTTAGTATTAATGAAAAAAAAAATTATCTTAATAAAGTGGCTTTTTTTATTTATTTCTCTAGGTGACAGTATGATCAACATCGGGGATCCTTACACAGACCTTTCAGGAATGTACTTCAGTTCTCCGGACAACGACAGGTCTGGATCTAATTGTTCCTCTAACAGAGGCGGCTGATGGTTTAACGCCTGCCATAACGCCTTCCTCAGCGGTGCCTGGACTTTACATTCTTGGTCGAGTCCCTGGTATTCTACATTCAGGACGGGTCGTCAGTGACCGAAACGCTGATGCTGATCAAACGTCACTAAGTAAACAACATTTATTTTAAATACACATCATGTACTTTTACGTAACTTGGGAAGTTTTCAAATAGATATATTTTGTTTGGGGATTTAAAGGCAATTTTTAAGTTTTTTTGAGGAATACATCTTATTTTTATATATCTAGGTATTGTTTTTTTTCTATATTTCACAGATGAGCATTGAAAAGAAAGAGAATCAACGGCTTGGAGATATCTAAATGTCCAAATCTATTATAGATGTGACAGATTTCTGACAAAAGAGACAATTTTACGTCCGTGTAATCAATATTTCTTTTTCTCTTCACATTATAATAGTACATTAAACTGTTCATATAATTTTATCCCTGGTTTTGATAAAATCAACATTTGATACTGTTATCGTCCATTGCCCAGATCATTTGGTAGTAACTATAACATCATTGAATACTGTGTATATGTAGTTTTTGAAAAAGAGGGTGTTGCAGAAACTTGCGATTATTCCCTAAATCGAGAAGGACATTTAAATACCCACGACGCATGAAGAGTTATCTCTAAATATACATAATGCTACATAGATGACTTTATTTATACGGCGGGTATGTCCAGCTTGTTAAAACAAAACATTTCACATTTTACCTTTAATTCATTCATAGTTTTTTTCCTAACATAGACAGGCGACCTGTAAGTAAACTCTTTTTCACATCTATGATAACTGTCGCCATATTGCACGAGAAAAGTTAGAACGATAAAAAGCATAGTTTTAGATCACAATATCAAGGAAAACAATTTAATTCTGCATGCAATTAAAATATTACTCATTAATTTAATACTAATATTACCCATTCTGACAATCTCTCCCTCTCTCTTTCTCTCTCAAGAGAGATGTTACATTGTACTTCCACTATATAAGAAAAAAAAATGGATAATAAATGGATGGATAATAATTTTTATTCGATTTATGAGATTTTCAAAAGTATGCCTCTTTGAAACAAAAATCGGAAATTGCATTTTTTAAGAAAAATCCTGTCTCTTCATGTGTATATCAAATTCATTCTGTTTCAAGGAGGCAATTTTTCAGAACAATGGGAATTCCCTATTTGAAAAACAGAAAACGAGACTTATTTTGCTATGTGACTAATTTACACTTCATTTAATGGCAAACTGGAAGTTAATATGCAGTTTCTAAGTATTGTTCTACGTTGTTCTGTATATACCGTTGTATCTGAAAAAAATTAAGACCGTTTTCTGTTACTTAAAATTTTTCTTTTAAACTGCTACAACTTTAGGGAAAATAACATAAGAACTGCAACACCTTCTTTGTCATGTAACAAGTTTCAACTTCAAATGGAAAATATAAGCCAATAGTATTAGGCATTTCACAGGGGGCAATACATTCAGTAATGTACTAAGTATCAAACTACATCTTATTTAACCTCAAAATATTACATAAAGGGGGCACTTAAGTACTGAAACAAACAACTTGTTAATAATATTTAGGTCAAGAAAAGTGGAATGATTTCGAAAGTAAAACTTCATCGATCTTGGAATTAAAAGGGATGAATTTAGAAGCAGAGAAAAGACTTTAAGGGCAACTGAGCCGACTCAGCGAACAAAAATAGTTTCCTTGTTACTATAAAAGAATGTAGCAATAAATGGAAAAGCAGAAGAGACTATGAAACAGCCGTTGATTACAATGCTAGAAAAGGGAAAAGAAATGTAATTTTTTTTAATGAATTTAACAACCTTCTAGAGATGATTTTAGTACCCTTCCCGGAGTGTTGTGGACACAAGCAGTTGTGCAGACAGGCAGACTCTGCAACAAATAAAATTAAATATTATACAGTCACCTTTGTCGTCACCATCAATATACGTAAAATGCTCTACCAGATTTCCCTGCTTTAACTGAGGAACAACTGCGCATGCAGACATTCGGAGTTAACCAACTCGAACAGAAAAATATTCCGATGAACACCTTACAATTGGAGAAGCATCCTCTATTCAGAGTAGCCTTCCGCTATGCTCCAAATATCTCTATCAACGCTCGTTGTACAAGATTCTTGTACAAGTTTTGAGCGGTGAAAGTTTGAAATTAAAATAGTAATTAATTATTTATCGATAAAGATGATAATTTATCATTTATTTAAATCTATCGATATCATTCCTCAGAAAGATTTGTTTTTAAAGTTTTTAGGGAACTCTTTTGCAGAGTAAAAATTAAAAACTTAGTTAGAAATTCCTTTTAAGCGGTAATAGATTACATAAATTCTGTTTACCGATGAAAAATATAACCAAAAACGATAATTATGACAATTTTTCATTATTTAAAATTTTTCCAAGAATTTTGTATAACAAGCGTTGACCGAGGTGTATATGGGAGCTTAGCAAGAACGACAACGCTGGATCGAGAATGCTTGGAGAAGGGGATTAAAAATTCACCTGTCATATGTAGAACCTGATCTATTACATGCGCAACTACTGTCTCGACATACTTCGAAAAGGCCCTATAATATATGGGTAGAATATTCCTTGGACCCTTTGACTGGCTGGTATTGTGAATGCAATGCTAGAACAGTTGGATTTTGTTGGGTGTTGTACCCACATTTCCTCAGTGGTTTGGTATTTTGCATTTGCTAGACATAAAAACAATAAGGCAACGTCAGATGTTTACACACCCTTTCTTTCCCATGCGGCGGATCCTGTTCTAGATACTGACTCTGATGAGGAATCCAAGTAAAGATTGATTGAAATTATGCACCTTTTCCTGAATCAATATCACATATGAAAATATTAAATATATTGTTATAGCTCACAAACTCTTTATTCTACAACATTTTCAGTATATATGACTAACTATTAAAATGAACCGGTGATAGTTTTCAGTATTTCATTACCTATCTTTAACTTGTTTTGTTTGCTTGTTTATTTGTTCTTTAACGTCCCTCTCGAGAATTTGCACTCATATGGAGACGCCTAAACTTGTTCTTGATTGTCCCTTTTGAAAAAGAAAATTATAATAAGAATATCATTACCATGCAGTTTTAAGGTATACTCTAGGAACATTGTAAATATTAATATTTATGCGAAACACGGAAAAACTTCTGTTTTAGTCTGTATGTTTTCAGAAGTCTAAGCGCTTATTGACAATTCAATCTAAAATGTTTCCTGTCAGAGATTCCTTCAAATTTCCTATCTAAAACGCCCAAAGTCTTTAAAAAAAATCAGGTAAGTGCTGTGGCTCACAGGCTCCGTCTCTGACAGATTATCATATTTCTCTATGTGAATGGTATTGGTGGTTATACTCGGGCATTTGTATCCAAGAAAACAAAGAAAAGCGTCTGTCTTTAAAGTTAAACTGATTTTGCAATGTCCTTTTATATGCATTCTTTGTGTATTTTAGAACTTCATGTAATCATATAGTGATCATAAACTTCTAAAAATACAAAGAAACAATATCTTTATTCAGATTTACGAAAATTCATACAGTAGAAAAGTAGAAGGAAATGCTTTCCAACCCATCGAATGATCACATAACTTAGCACAAAAGCACTTAATATGCTGTTGTCCAATTATTGGTAGAAATTTTAAAAAGTAAAACTCTCTGACTCGCATATTGTAATCTCTAATAATGTCATTAAAATAAATTGCACTCATTGTTACATTTTTACAGTTATTGCTTTCTTATTTCCGAATCAGCTAAAAACTGATCACTCGGGGTTCCTTGCGTCCCTCGGACCCCGCACACTTGCCTCGGACTTGAACGATGTTCAACCGTTTTACTTCTACAATCATTTGATCAAATCCGAAATTTCTCTTAATATTCTTCCTTTGAATTCCGATTTACTTTGTGGCATTCTGCTTTCAATTACTCCTACATTATTAACAAGAGAGATGTTTTGGTTAACTTGTGCAATGCGAAATACAAAATGAATTTAAAGGTACTTCCGGCGGAGAAATTCAGCGATCTGATGCAAATTCCTCCACCAATCGCATCCGAGGTTTATGTGGAGCGTAGCGGAGTCAGCCAAGGATTACCGATTGAAAAACTGACTTCTCTCAATCTCAGTGGCACAAAGTTTAAAATCGTGTCATACCATCGCCTCCAAGATGCAACTGAAAAAAAGAAATGTCTCTAAAGCACAGTAACTCAATGATTAGAAAAGTTTGAGTTTTTCCCCATCATCTGGCTGTTATGCAAGGGATTATCGATTAATTTTTAGCAGACGATGAGTTCTAGACACGGATATCACGAGGGATATATGAAACTCCTTGGTTTGTTCCATTTTCAAATAAAAATGTCTCTAGGGATGAAATAGAAGATACACAAACTAGAGATGAATATAACAGAGCAGGTCGCCGTTGTTTGTCCATTGTTTTTGCTTTGTGATGACAGGAAAGCCGCTGAAAAAGAGAGAATGAAAATTACCCTTATGAAAGAAATCCATTTTGCCTAATGGAAAAGCGATATTGATTTCACTAAACAAACATAATGCTAGGTTTCATAATGACATTTCATATCTTTTCGGTTCACAATCATGATTACGATTCAATATTACTTAATCATATATTTAACGACATTGTTGTTATGGGTAATAGTTGCCGTACATGGTTTTTTGGTGGTCCTGATCGTCATGTTTGTTGTTTTAATTGTTGTTTGTTGTTGAGGAGTAATCTTTAATGACTGCTCGTCGAATTTACATGTGATGTTCATTCCCTTTGTATATGGTGTAGTATACTTTGCCCCATTGGCAAGAGCTAAAAGAGTAAAATACTCAACTAATAAAATAAGCTTAAATGATTTGGACTTTTCGGTTATGCGACGATGTCGTTCTTATCAAACTGACATCACCTTGTTAAAACACGAAACATTCTGTAAACTGCACTTAAAATCGTCGATATTAGTGTTCTTTTACACACAGAATACAATTTCATGTATTACCCTTTCCCGTAAGCAATGGTGATCTACTCCAAACCTGTCATTAACTTTTCATTTTAAAATTATTTTCAAAAATGAAATAGTGTTGGGTAAAAGAACTGAACATGTTGCGTTCATTAGGTAATTTTCATTCAGTAAACTGATAATATTAAGGTTGGTGTTCTGCGTTATTATTGATGATAATCTCCCCTTTAATGATTATGCATCCATATTTCTTCTATGAATTGAAATATATTCTGTTTAATGTAGATATTTGATATTTCCAACATTCTAAAAGGTTGCAAAGCAGATGAGATGAAAATTTCACAAAATTCAGTGATTGAATCAGTCCTTTCTGAAAGAGTGTACCATGCTTGTATGTTGGTCGTTGGGGACTCGCTTTAATTGCGGAAGCCCTGTAGGAATCACATAGTCCGTCAATCTGTCCGTCGATAATTTTTTCAGCACAGTAATTGAAACAAGGACAATGCTAAGCGGAGCATTCCCTCGCAAAAGAGCACATTGCACCCGATATTACTTATCAGATTTACCTACACTATACCCCCCCCCCCCCCATAACGTTGCAAGAGGATAGGACCCTTGAAATAAAGCAAGAGCGCACTCGCACTGCGGCATGCGGTCGACCAAAGTGGTATAATTGTTTACCTTCAGCATCATCGTAGCAATGGTTCGTTTGATTTTCTTTGTGCCATCTGCAGTGTGCCAAATCTTCTTTGCCCACAATGCGTATACCCTTACGGGAGAACCTGAAGGACGCATGCTCACATGAAATATTAACGTGCGTGTTGTTATGGTACGCCATTGTTCGAAACCCAGAAACTAGAAATAGAAAATTTTTACTTTTCATTAATACCTCAGTAATTATGGCATTTAAACTTGAAATGCTGAAAGTTACTCTCGGCTTATGAATGTATCAATTTAGGCCATTTCATGAAAATTGCTACAATTTTAGAAGATAATTTGTTCCACTTAATGAACATCCACTATCTGAAACAAAAAATTATTGATGAAATGTTGAGGCCTCTGTTGTAGACTTTTTGCATGTTTTTCTCCAAAAGAAATAAGTAACAGAATTTTACGCATTATTTAATTAGGACTGATTGTAAAACCTATTATTTAAATAAAATGTATATGGTGTAAAATATCAGAAAGAACTGTACGAAGAAAAAAAATGTTTACAGAAATTTTAAAGAATTGTTTACTTTCAGACATTATGACAACACAGATAACGCCATCACAATCCTGAAGAGATAGAATACACGCATTGCTGTGATACAAAAACAAGTTGTAAAGTGATTAAGAACATTTTGTTTCATTAAGTTTGATTCTAAATATTTATTTGAAGCTTTTTTCTGAAACCTAATCAAAACTAGAGAAAAAAATGGCGATATTATCAAAACAGAAGAAGCGCTGAGTACATCTTTGTGACGTCCTGAGTACTAAGTTCTAAAGGATGTAAGAGGAAGATTGTTTTCACAGACTGACGGAAACCTCGCCATTACAACTTTTCTGGTCTTTTAAAAGTAGAGCTCTATACATGTTTTATTTTATACATGTACTTTTTATTTGTTTATCACCTTTCACTGAAATCGGAAGAACTTCACTTATATTTATTTTATTTTGTATCCATAACAACATTCTTTATTGAGCAGAAAAAAAAAATTGTCAGAGGAATTAAGTATCTTGGTGTACATAATCTACTTCTTCCATTCAAAGCTGACCCAAAACTGTATGAGAAGAGGATTTCAAAGAAAAAAGAAAATAATATTTAGACTTACGACAAGGCCTAAGAAGAATCTTCTCATGTACACTAATATTATGACAGGTAGTGTTTACCCAAAGCGGATAACCAGCATGGATTGTGTGGTTAAATGGTGTAGTAAAGGTCAAAATTCCACTGTTGTTGTCGTGATAATACTGCACAGAGTCTGCTGTGTGGCATAATAATCTGCCATTACCGATAAATATGCAGTCAGCTAAAACATCTGAAACGATGGTGATTTTGAGGCTTTTCATATTACACTTCATTAAAATCTCAATTCCCAGTTTCTCCGAGTGACAAGTCCCGTCGGATAGTGCATCGGAATTGATGATAGTTCCAAAAATTCCTTGACGGGAGAGAAAAGACAAGTTTAATGGCATTAAATAAAATTTGGAATTTAATGTAAAAAGTAAACTATATTACGCATTTACCCCTCTGATCAGAACATATTTTGGATCAAGCAAAGTAAATCTGAAAGCATCAATAGTAAGAACATATTGACTCATATCATTTTATTATAAATTTAGTGTATTCCTAATTAGCCTTTCAAGATTATTTTGCAAACAGATGTCACTGAGTTAACCGATCAAAGAGTAGATTATTTCAGTCAACATGAAGTTGTATTTTTCAGTATTTACTGGGTGTAATTTCTATGTACAACTATTATTATTTCCAAATTTTGTCCACAACAATAACGAATAATAGTCTCACCTTTTTGAATTAAAAAGGCTCCTCCAAAAAATACGCCTACAATAATAATTCCATTCGGCACCATGAGTACGGCTTTCCTGTAATATTTATATTATTAGGTCGTTTGTTTATGCATAGCCATTGACGTATTGCTGCATTCTGTGCAATGTATGCGATATCTGTGTCAAACGTCTGCATCGGCTCTACAGCTGTCAGGTATTGACTCGTTTTAATGCAATCGCATATTTTGCCAACTGCAGCGCAGTTTGATTAAATGATTATTCAGTTACAATTTTATCTTTGGGTTATATCGTTAACGTCCAAACGTTGACAGATACATCATAATGTACTTCTGTTTATTACTTTATAATTATATTTCCTGTCCACTTTTTAGAAAATTAAACCGCTTGTTATGTATGGAGATCGATTAAACATAATGCATGCTTGATTAAATGTGGATTTTCAAGTGTTAAAAGCACAATTTACATTCGTTTTCTTTTGAAAAGAATCTTAATATATCATTTTTTACATGCTTACCAATTTATCTGGCTACTAAGTGAAAAGGGGGGGGGGGGGAGGGGGCTTAAATGCTTACAAAAACATACTATTGGAAGCTGCAGTTTACAACACTATCAAAGGTTTTACTATCGTAAATCAAAGTTACTAGGAGTTTTAATTTGTCATATTTCGTATTCACTAAATCTTACATGTATTTATTTTTAAACTGAAAGGAATTACTACTTGTATATTCAAATAATTAAATTAACATCATTGCTTAATAAGGCCCTAAATCTTAAAAAAACTAACGTTTTATAGTTACTAAAAGTATTTACTTAACTAAACTTTTAGTTAAGTAAACTTTTTTTAGTATGTGCACCAATCAATACTTCTTCGATTCTTTGTTCACATGAACATTGACTATGGGCAGATTTCAATAATGATTTAAAATATGACAAAATAGTTAAAAGGTAATTGTTACATATACAACTTGGCAATTGAAAACAAATTAAAAGAGCAGAGAATGTATTACAAGAGATACTTGAGTAGTAGATAAATACATCTGTATATGGCTGCGTTTATCGTGTTTCCTAAAGAAAGTGGTTTGCCACTTACTGATCCTCGTATTTCTTATTTATTACACGTTAATTGCCTTCAAATGTAACATTCAAGGGTTTTTACCGGTTAAGGAGTAACAAACGTAGAATTGTCTAAAGCATGTTACGTACACAAGTTCTCATAATGTCAGTTTTTTTAAACATCACATCCTGTTGTCCATGTTTTTGCTTCATTAGTTTAAAAAAAAACATTGAAACTTTCATTATTCAGAATTTTTATAGGCAGACCTCTCCTGATGTACAAATAACAGACAGAGAGTTATTTATAATCTTGTTTGTAATTGAACGCACTGAACCGATAACACAGCTAGGTAAAAACAAAAATACACAGTTATGACAGATACAAATCGATTTAAACTCGATTTTAAAGCCAACAACAAAACCTGCAACGATCATTGAATCCGTTGTAGAATTATAGGGAAGCTAAATAACAGAAAAAGATGTAAGTAAGAGTCCTTACCTATCCTCTGTCATGAATGAAATGTGGACGTCATTTGTGCAGTTGGATTACATGAATTAAATACCTTATCTCCAGGTTGTTATTTATACATCCTCAAGGTCACAACAGTGTCCTTTACGGTTTAATAAAAATATTTTTAGTAGTTTGATGCAGTAAATAAAAAAGTGGTTTAAAATTATACGATGACTGCTCAACATCTGATAGACATGCGTTGTTTAATGGAAGCTGTTATGATAATAATTCTTGAAATTCAACATGAAATCAATGTTAACATAGACATTAAAAATGAATAAGGAGTGACATGCACAGGTTTGTTCTTTTAAGTTTCATAAACCCTCAGCTCATTCATATGAAATATTTCTTAAACTAATTATGATTTAAAAAAGATTTTATAAGTAAAATACAAACAATTATATCATAGCTTGTGTGGGGAAATAAATCAAATAAGACAATTCAACTTGACGAAATAAAGAAATAACAGACATACACGGAAGAATGATGTACCCAATGCGCAATATTTTGCAAAAAAGTAAAGTTTAACACCTGGTATTTTTATTATAAATAATCAAAAATCAAAACCCATGTAAGCTTGTTCGTGATATATGTGCAATTGAACTACAAAATAAAGAAAAACTGGAAGAGAATGTTGTACCCTTTTGGCAGCCACCCACCCGCCTAACATTTTCACTATTTCAATAACCGGACTTTTCCTACGAAAAGCCCAGTTAAATATTATATATGTCATAGTAACTTAAATAAATAGACAATTATGAAAACTGTTCAAATGACTATCCTGGTTAAAATGCACTTAATTCGATGATCAAAATTTATCGACTAAGGTCAGTCGCGGCCTTGTTTCGAACACACGACCTTCCGATCACAGAGCGAGCTTATAAAAGAAATTTGCTTTCTATGCGTTAAACTCATTTAAATTCTGAAATTCTTTAAAAAGACACGCCCACATATACATTATTATCCGTGCTTGAATATTCTAATTATGGAGGGAGTAATTGACTCCAAAAGACGAAGAATAAAAATTTCCTACAGAAACACTGTAGTTGGGCATACTCTATTAATTATATGCAAAACTATTAATGACTAGGTTTTCAGCTCAAGTCCTTACTAACTGAAACGTCGTTTTTTTCCGGATGTCTTGGTGGAAAGAATGGAAAACAGAAGACAAAGATGACATTTATTATAAATATTTTCATAAGCCTGGAAAAGACATACAAAATGAAATCAACAGGCAACAAGAATACATATATATTTAATTTTGATTTTTTTTTATCAGAACAAAATATTTGTGCAAATCAATCGGAGAGAAGCACATATACAATGTCATAAACGTGCTTTAAGGTTTATCATCTTGCCTTAACTGATTATTATTAGTCCCCTACCGGTGAAACCGGAGGGGACTATAGGTTTCCTCTGAGTCTGTCCGTCCGTCTGTCCGTCCATCTGTCTGTCTGTCTGTCCCTCTGTCTGTCTGTCAGTCTGTCCCACTTGGTTTTCCGCACTTTTTTCCTAAACGCTTGCAGATATTGAGCTGATTTTTGGTATGTGAGTGTATTTTGATTTTTGACGGAATTACGGCCTTTTCAATTTTTACGGGTTTTCCGCAATTTTCTTCTAAACGCTTGTAGATATTGAGCTGATTTTTGGTATGTGGCTTTACCTTGATTAGTTATAGATCAAGTTTCGCATTTCGTCCCGCTTCATTAATTTTTGACAGAATTATGGCATTTTCAATTCTTAACGGGAACCAGATTACATGCACTTGCCGGTAGGGGACTAGTATTGCTAATGCAATACTCTCAGAATGCTTGTTATGTATATTTCGACGAAAATATGAATTCTAATGCTATTTCAGTAATATTGGTCAGTCTACTCATTGCACGAAAACGCATGTGCGTGCAGGTGCTCATATGAAGACCTTTCTTCTGTTTATTAGTCCCCTACCGGTGAAACCGGAGGGGACTATAGGTTTCCTCTGAGTCTGTCCGTCCGTCTGTCTGTCTGTCCCTCTGTCTGTCTGTCAGTCTGTTCCACTTGGTTTTCCGCACTTTTCTTCTAAACGCTTGCAGATATTGAGCTGATTTTTGGTCTGTGAGTGTATCTTGATGAGTTACAGATCAAGTTTGCATTTCGTTCCGCTTCAATGATTTTTGACGGAATTAGACCTTTTCAATTTTTCAGCGTTTTCCGCACTTTTTTTCTAAACGCTTGCAGATATTGAGCTGATTTTTGGTATGTGACTTTACCTTGATGTGTTATAGATCAAGTTTGCATTTCGTCCCGCTTCATTGATTTTTGACGGAATTATGGCATTTTCAATTTTAAACGTGAACCAGTTTACACTTGCCGGTAGTAAAAAAGTGACTCCCATCAAGCCACGAACCCCGTTTTCACTTAGATCCGACACTAATTTAGTGTTTCGGCGGTGTGATAACAGGCCAAGCAATAAATAGATATTCTATACTAATTATAATTAGTTATATAAGTCCGCCATCATCAGGAATCCACTTATATATATCAATATTGTATATTCATTTTATTTGTTTTATTATATACCGGTATGTTCTTTTTAAATAGTAGAACCGGTAAGGGAATTTCCCAAGGTCACGTAATGTGTAAATAATAAACACAGATGAAAGTTGTTTGTGTAAATAAATATGCAAGAAAGCGATAATTTGTTAACTGTCTCTGACTGAGATATGTCAGTAAATGATATGGTTGATTACATTGTAATTGACCAGTAAGTGAGGCTTTAATAACTTTTATTAAAGTTTTGAACTTGTTAGGAGATCTCCTAAACTCCTGTGTTTTTTATATGCAATAATTGGTTTGTCTTTGAATATATCTTTGAGTTCGGGCTCTCTTGATAGAGTGTGCCAGTATTTTAGCAATTTCTTTTTGATATTGCTAATGGCTGGGTTGTATTTTGTAACCTTGACCAATGGTATATCAGAATTACTGTTAACTTTCTTTTTTTTGATTTAAATGGTCTCTTTTGTAATTTTCTAGAACATTGTTCATTGAACTGTTAATCTCATTTTCATTATATCCTCTTTTCAACAGAGAAAATTTGAACTTCTCGATCGCATTGTGAAAAATATTAGAATCGCTAGTATTGCGTAAATGACGAATGATTTCGCCTCTAATAATTCCCTTGAAAACAGAAGGGCTATGTGCACTATTGCGTTCCAGATACTGGAAAGTATTAGTAGGTTTTATGAAAGTTTTGACATCAAGAATTCCTTCTAATTCAAACCTTTCTCCCTTAAATAGGGTGATGTCAAGGAAGTTCATTTCTTTGTCAGAAATTTCATATGTGAATTTTAAAAGAGGATGATGTGAATTTGCTATTTGGAAAAATTGATGAATTTCATTCATTTCCCCATGATAGATTATAAATCCATCATCTCGATATCGACCGTGATAAACAATATTATGTTGAAATGGAAATTTGTTAAGAATTTCCGAAGTGACTTCATACATTCTGATATCGCACACTTCAGGACTGCATTTTGAGCCCATTGCGCAGCCTATAATTTGTTTATATTTCTTAGAATTAAATTCAAAGACATTATTTTCTAATATTGTTTGTAACAACCACAGAAGATCATCTGTAGGTGGCGAAGAATTTTAAATTCTCCTTTGTTGAATTTAGAGTATGCTTCACTGACAGCTGTGAGTAATTCGTTGAACTGCATATTTGTATACAGGGATGTTACATCATAACTGACCATTATGCATTCTGCTTGCGGTCTAAGTTTTTCTATTTTTATTATGAAATCAGAGCTATCTCTGATGTAAGTGGATTGTGTTTTGACTATTGGTATTAGGAAGTAATCAACATATTGGCTGATTCGTTCCTAGTAATCAAGAACAATTTGCAAAAATGCAAAATGAACTTGAAGAACAGTTCGATTATGGATTGAATCTAACAGATTTTGATTCACCCGAAGTCAAATCGGACAATTTCTCTACTTCTGTGTCCATTGCCGTTGATAATTTCACTGAAAAACTGGGAACACGACACCAAATGGCCTGTGCCCGGGAGGGAATTTATTTTTCAATGAAAAATAATACGTTGCCACCATTCATGAAATGGAATATCAGCTGCAATCCCAATCTTGGAGATAAGGACATTGTCATTTTGTTCCAATCTCTTTGGAAGGAAAAGGCTGATTCTTTGAAAAAGGAATTTATGCAAGAATCCATCAAATTCTTGGAGGATAAAATTGAAGAAACTAATAATCAATTAAAAGAAATCAGACATGAGGCTCTCCAAAAAATCGGAACAGCCACTTCCACCTCAGGATTAGCCCGAAACGAGCTCAATACCCGTATGAATGCCAGCAAGGAAAAATTTGATAAGGAACTGTTGCAATTTTGCACAGCAATAAGAACCAAACCTAAACAGGCGGCTGGAAAAAACAAATCCACTACCGGTACCTCATATAGAGGAGGCAAAGGCAAAGGACATAAAGGGCGAAAATTTTCACCTTACTAAGTGACTTTAATGTCCAGTTATAAAAACTTGAGTGTATCACTCATGCGCAACTGAACTGATTCGCTATACTAAAGTGACTCTATTGTCCGATTATTATATTTGAGTGTATCACTCTTAACTCTAACGAACTTATCCCTATGGGAATTAGTCATTTCTTTAAAGTATCATTCGCTATTGATTACATACTGTGACAAATTATGTTCTGTGAATGATCAATGAATAAAATATCATTCCTTTGGAATTTTGCTATCTTATTGATATGCCTTTTGGTGAGGAAATTGTATTTCTAATTTTCTAATTGGTTAGTTCAAACATGATTACGTCTGGATTATTCAATAATAACATACAGCATTTGTACGCATGCGCTAGCGGCATTTTTTACCACGTGCGAAGGTTTGCTCACATTTTCACATACACAGCCAACAGAATGGCACGTCGTTTCGATCGAAACATCAAAAGAAGAAAACGATCTATTAGGGCAATGAAATACAAAGCCCGCAAAAATAGAAAGTTCTACTCCAATGTTCTTTATGCAA